AAGGTCTTTAACAAAAAATAACGTATACTTATTGTCGTCAGATTAACACCAAATTTTCACAGCTTTAAGGTGACAATGAGAGGAACTTGAATGTGTCCAGACAAACTATTTCATCGATTATCTACCAACGAGTTGTGGTTTGAGTTGGGGGCAATGCGACTAAAACAGTAATTGAAATTCAGGACACTATTTTTTAAAACGCGTTGCTTGAATAAAACTAACCAGACACATTCAATTTACCAGACTATTGAACAACTAGGAAAAGTGAAAAAAATACTTTATCGCCAGCATAAATGCGTATTTTTTTTTTTTTTTACAGAAAAAGTAATTTTTCACCTTTGATTGAGCAACGCGTCGTAAAATGCAGATACGGGCATGCAAAATACACTTGTGAAAAGCTTGAAGTCTGGCGATTCTAAAAATATATACTTTCCCGGGTCTATTTGTAGTCATTTAGTCACAATTAGAAGATGAAAACAAGTATGCAAATAATAGTCCCGCTACCTTAAAACAGTTTTAATCCTTGTTTATAAATAGCTAACCATTCGAGCAATGCATCTGTTGCAATTACCGAGTTCAGCAGTTCAAACATTGTATCGGAACGAATATGCAATCGTATTTCACATATTCCATCTCGAAATAGTAGTGACGCGATGTTTTGATTTTGTACACGTGTGTAGAAACGTCGCGTCAATAGAACACTCATTACTTACTTCCAACTCCGATATTCCCTAATAGCCGGTGACCTGTGCAGTGCAGTCTATTAACATAATTTGTGTTTGCCTTTCTCTAAACGGTCTTAGGGATTGGTCAGTTACTTCGACCTAGGGGGGGGTCGGCAGATTCCATTTTGCCAGCTCTAAATCTCAGTCGACCCACCCCCTATCAAATAAAAAAAAGTGGGTGACCCCCCCCCCAACATTATATTATTATGTGCTTATGAAAACAAAGGAAACCTTGATTTTGCTTAAATTTGTGTTGGATTTTGGTATTTTACAGATATATGCATATGCATATTTAAAAGTTAAAAAAAACAAAAAAACTATTTATTTCTTCATCATTTATTTTAATTTATATATCAACATTTTCACAAATTTAACTTTTTTGATTTGCTGAATAAAAACTGTCACTGCTCTTTGTACTAATTGATGTGTTGTCTTTCCGTCTCCTGTTATAATTGGATAAATCCAGTACATATCTTATACAATGGTGACTTCAGACTTTAAATAAAATAATCTGATATCAGCAGCACATGGACTAGGGATGTGTTTAAAACTTAACTGTATAATTGGGGTTCTAGCCGCATTGCATAATCTGTTAGTTATTTGGCAACTTTAACCTCAAAATATTTAGGCTATAACATTTTTTGCATCAACAAATTTATAGGTAATAGTTATTATTAAGAACACATTTGTACGATTAACTTTTTTATCATTTGTTCTGAAATAAAAATTTTAAAAATATAGAATAGAATATTTTATTTGGTGCAGCTCCTAGTTTACATAGTGAGCCCCTGTTACAAAAGGGAAGCAATAAATAAATAAATAGAATATTGCTTTATTACAACGTTAAAGAAAATTTGACAATTCTTTTTTGGTTTCTACACATGTAGAAGGTAATAAAGTTAAAAACAAACAAAACAAAAAGTGTGACAAACAAACAAGAAAAAGTAAACTACTGTGGTAATATTATTTGTTCTCTTATTGTATACGCTGTTTTGATATATTTAATTATATATGCATGAGCGCGTGTGTGAATTCTGGAAAACATGATATCAAAAACAAGGTAACCCCCCCCCCTATTCGCACAATCAAAAACAGGGTAACCCCCCCTACTGATCCACCGACCCCCCCTAGGCCGAAGTAACTGACCAATCCCTTAGATGCATACAGGTCTTAGAAAGTACAGGCAAAGCAAACCACCTAGAGGTTAGTAACTCAAAAACACGATTTCCCCTTCCTCTCAATAAAACTAGCAAATGAATCAGCCAACCGATGTCATATGTTGATTGTTACAACTACCACAATTTAAACATAGTAGAATGTTCGATATGTAGTTTCCCGTATTTAATACATGAACACTAGGGGACCCTTGTCACTCGTGCAAGACATGAGTGGAATATTCAGTAAATAAATAAATGTTGATTGATGCTGAATGGAAATCCCCATTTCTGCGAATAGCTATGTGGATTGGTGCCTTTCCACCTTTCTGTCATATTGATGAAACGGCTGCACAACAATTTCGAAATGTTGAAAACGTAGTGTTTTATTGTGCGATTCATACAAACGTTTATATGTTAGAAGTATGTTACAAGTGACATTAACAAAGAACTGGCGGATTATTATACATTGATATTGGTAGGACGCTTTGTGTACTGGCGATACAATGTGTATGTAGCATATTACATTTGTCAAAACTAGATAAGTGACATTTCAGGAGAGCCAGCTGATATAACATTATCAATTGGCAATGGTATGACATGCTTGGTATATTGGCGATGCAATGTGTATAGCTCCTCGTCAAGTTTATACTTTTTTGCTATTTCTACACCTGTTTTATTGTTGACAAGAATATGCATTCTGGTTTTTGAATAATTCGGTAAGGACATCACTAATTCATTGAATAACATATGGGCTATGTCTTCATCATTTGCATATAAAGGCAATATCGTAAATTCACCTGGCAATAATGTGTGAATAACACCATAGCCTACAACTTCATTTGAATTCAATTTTCGTGCGACTAAGACCGATTTTGCCCTACTGCACCAAATTTTTAAATTATCTGGTCTTGGAAAAGGTGACACCAAACTATCATATTGAACTAAAGAATTGAATGTTACCTTGTCGTAAGGAACAATATCGATGGACTTAGAACTAGTGATAGATACAATAGAATGATCAACGCTTCCCATGAAACATTTTACCAGAAAATTATTATCTATTTGCCTGAATCCCACGTCTACAAATACATCACAACGATGCTGATCGGCGGAAGACAATGCGTAATTACGATCCCCTGCATACTGAAAACGTGCCCTCAACAAATCTTTGTGAATTCCTTGTTTTCTGTGTTCTCTCACAGTCAGACCCAGTCCAAAGTAAGAGATCGTGTCTGAAAGGTTAGTGACCATCCCGCAACCTACAATATACAAGATGAAAAACATAATTATTACGATTTCGTAATTATTCGAACAGCGACATTTTTTGGGGATTATTGATAACTTGAGATTCAAGGTCATATATCGAGAAGGATGGGAAACCGGCTTGTAAAATTTTGGCCGAAGAATAATTTACGAATAAACTTCTAGACAGACAAAAACAGACACGGTTTTTGTGAAAGCAAGTGATGGCAAGTGGGTTGAAACGTCTCGGATGAACAGTTTTAGCCTTAAACTTAACAACCGCGATTGATATCAAAATGGAAATATTTCAGTGATGCAATTGAAACTGTCCTAGAGCGAATGTATATCCTTATGAAAATCTTTAACAAATCTGTGTTATTTTTGGTGCGTACCACTTTTAATCATTTTTATCACCTTTAAAGAAGAAATGTTATGCTGCATATATCACAACAAATGAAATTTCTGTTTGAAACTCACTGCAACTAAAGCAATATATCGGTCCCATTTACAATTAAACAAAAAAACATGTATTTGTCATTCAAAAGAAAAAGCACTTATACTACAATTGTTGTTTTCTATTGGACAGTTTTGATGAGTCGTGTGCTGTACATACATTCAAAAGAGAATAGGAACCATTGATGCTGAAAGGTATATTGGGAGGGATGCAGGAATTCATGTTTGCAATGCTGTCTTCGTTTTCTTGGTTGTTCAATTATGAATACAATTGTTGTGGTGGTGGGTGGAAGATGTGTTAATTGGTTGTTGGGTCATAAGTTTAGACACCCTGTAGCTTGAAATGGTATGGTTATATTCAAAATTCAATATGACGGTACCTTCTGAAAACATGACATCACAATACTCTCTGTGTATTTATTACTGTTGTAGATCCCGAGAACTATAGCCACTGATTATGATGTCAGAAAAAAACGTATGCTGAACAATATGTAATAATAAATTATTGCAATATCGTATTTCAATTTTTATTGGGAGCAAATTGTGCCACCATAGTTGGGGTGGACATTTTAATGTAATAGCAAGTCCTCCCTCCCTTCTCCCTCTCTTTTTTTACTACTATTGCCGGTCAATCACTTACCTGATGCAACTATGCATATTGGTGACTTTTATGATCTAATTACACCTGTAAACAAGTGTTTTAAATTATTATGTAACAGTTCTAGGAGTTTCAGTATGTTATGTATAATGCGAGAAAAAATCCACTGACTCTTATTTTTCAATCACTAGAATTTCTTTTATTTATGTTTATATATTGTTGTACGGGTTGTCTATACTGCAATTTGCGTAGAGCCATCAATGGACTTATCAATTTGTATTTCATAGTGAAATGTAGCCACCCACCATATCATTCACATGCACACATTCTCCATATATATATATATATATATATATAGGATATGGTGAATAAATCTATAAATCTTACCGACAATTTGGCCTTCTCGATTCTCGGCAACTAAAAATCCATCAGGACTTATTTGACGGAGTGTTTCAAGGTAATATACAGGATAATTCCAGTGTTCAGCGATGGTTATATCACTTATGAACTTCAAATCTTTTTCTTTGACAGGGCGAATTGTGACATCATTTCTTTAATCAATATACAAAGTCAGATTAGAGTTAAACCTTAATACAAGTAAATCTTAGTGCCTCTTGGCCAACCAGAATACACTAAATGTTCGTTTAATTGGGTATGGTAACAAATAAAATCAATTCCAATCTCTCGTTATTATATATGAATGAATAAAATACACAACTATATCTGATTGTTTGTAGCTATAATTATAATTATATTTTAGCCCTGAAATAGGACTTTTTCAAAAATAACTACAAAATAAAGGGATGAATAAGTCGACAAACAAATGGAAATGGAAAATTAAAAAAAAAAACATCAAGGAAAAAACGTACAACGTATTACGTACAACCTGCTGTTAAATAGTGTGAGGGCGTTAAAAAAGCTATATATACTCAGTGAGTTCTGGCTTAATAAAATGTCTTATTCTGACCTCTTCAATATACCATCGTATAATATATTCAGATGTAATCATAACACTTCACAGGGTGATGCAACACTTTTTGGCAACACCTTCACAGCTTTTCAAATGTATCCACATAAACATAATCATAATTTGTAACTGTGAATCAATGTTCATGGAACAAGTTATCAAGAAACAACAAACTCGTCATATATGTTAATTACTGAAAACAGGCTTATTGTAATCGAAGAAACGAAACGAAACTGAACGGGAGGACAGATATAAACAAATAAAATGTAATCAGAGAAAATGGGTTTTATACGTACAATATTTACAAAATATTTGCCGAAAATAACAATATTTTAATTAGTAAATGGCTCGTTTCGCTAATTAAATATAATCAGAAATCAGTAATCATCGAAACAAGTGTCCTTTATGTACAGTATTCACAATTGTCGGACAAAACTTGACCAGTATATTCGTTTTCTGACACCCGAGAACGTAACGCAAACGAAATTAGAACAAGACGTTCCGTTCCCGCTACGTACATAGATCTTAATCTCTCTATTGTAGTATTACAGACACGAAGAACGGAACTTAGAATGTTTTCAAATTACGTCACTCAGTCAGGTGCCTTT